ATGACTACTAGGATGTCGGTACAAGTGCCACCCCGCAGATACTTTCCTTTTCTTTCTTTTGAAATCAGCACCTGCACTCGTAGGATATTATTGTAATTGTAAATGTTACAAGCCAATTAGGAGTTCCGTCGTATTTAACAAGAAAGTATTAAGGTCGCCTGGGGTTTTCCCACCTCGTTGTCACCGCCTGCACTGCCAGAGATGCTGCTTCATATTCGACAAAATGCAATGAAAACTTTTTGTTACTGCATTTTGTGCGGTGAAACTTCACAGATTAGCTAAAAATAATTTTTAAAACGTAAATTAATGCTTGTTTCTGAAAATAAATGCGATTCCTTAAACTTGGCTTCAATTGCATCTGAACAATTTCGGGCAAATTTTTCCAGTTCTGGAAGGGTCATCTTTTATACCTTTCTACTTATTTTGGAGTTCCTTCATAGTATAATCCAAATTAATAAAAAGTTTGGTTCTGCCATACGTAATAGCATAGGAGACAACTCCCAATTTCGCCAAAATTTATGCTCATTTCTCTTAATAAACTTAACTAAAATCGTCATTTTCTAACGAAAAAGGTTTTCGCAGAATTAAATCCACTCAATGAATCAAAATAATGTGGCCAAATATATGCTTAAGTACCAAATCAAAGTTCGTCATGAAAGTTACGCGGACTTTAGTGCATACTGTCAAACGATCCTTTTTCTTAGCCACTTTGTAGCCAATGGGAAATTGAAATTCCTCTTCCTATCCCTCCCCAAATAAAGTCATCCAGAGGGTTTTTTGACGTGCAAGGGATTTATGCAGTATTCACTGAAAAGCATTTCTTAATTAACGACCATGCCCTGTTCTCGTACGATGTTGTCATACAATTACGAGGATCTAACATGTCGATTTCATGAACAGAAAAGAAAAATACACTGCATTTTGGAAAATCAACGGCTTCCTGCTCAAATCTAGTTTTGAAAAATTTCCCCTCCGTAATTTCGAAGCAGACATTACCTTTTTGGTGCAAACTGAACCATCTGTGCTGGTGTTTTTGAAAAGCCTCACATGAATTATCTTCTGTGGGGCAAAAACACACGATGCCCTATGTCGTCCAACACTTATATTACCAAATGTATATTTCCAGAGGTTTTATGATGAAGCTACTATACGGTTGTAGTACTATCCAGAGTTTACAAAAGGTTAAGGAAAGAGTTGTTGTTCCCTTTATAGTATTTATAGGAGACAACCGGGAGTGACATGTTAGATTGGTGCATCAAGTTTGAAATGTTTCTGGTGGGTAACAGCAGGTGTTTTTTATTCTTTGGTCATCGTCTCTGCGTACAAAGTAGATCGAATTGAAGAAAAGCCACGGAGTTTTTTTGGACAACCATCTTCTGCTTCCTTTTTACGGGTGACCATTTATTTCCGTAGCAAAAACATATTTACGAGTTTCCTTTTCTGTTTACACTTACTACTTGACTAAACCAAGTCTTATGATCTCTGGTCCTCTGTTCACTGAATTAGGGACTGCCGTTAGTATCGCCAGTAGACCTAGCGTTGGATACGCGCAAACACAGTGAACAGCAAGTGTTATGCCGCACCAAGTCTCTCAATTGATCTCATTCCCGTCGTCAGCGAGATTTGTGGCTGGTATCAAGGAGTCAGCACGCAGAACCGTCTTCCGCTATCAAGCGTATTTAAAATACATGTACAGTGGAGACTGAGATGACGAGCAGTTACATCTACAAGCATTTGAGGTAACGAGCTAGCCATTAACAGAAAATTTGTTTCGCTTGACGGGCTTCCGTTCAGCTAACAAGCTGTCAGTGGGTGTGTCCACCGCTGAGTCTTGCCCTCAGAGCGTGGGTCCTCGGTCACCTGCAGCCAATCAGTGAACTGACTCAGTTCGATTGGCTACATTTCGCAAGACGAGTGTTTCTCATGACGAGTTCGGTACCGCAACAGTTCATCTGTAACGGAGGTTCCACTGTAGTTCTTTATTCAGCAGACAAGAAACTGAACATTCTATTCACATACATGTTTTTTAGAGACATACTTCACAGTTTAAACACTTGGTTCGAACAAAAGAACGGCATACGGTATCTGCCATTTCCACCTCAGTGTCTCTTCTGAAACGTCTCAGCATATGAAGTCCTCGAGACGCAAGCAAGCGTACATGCATTATCACGTTCTGAGCAACACTTAAACCCTCCGCTGTTGCTTGCCAATTTTGAAAGCGGACAAGAATTCTGTCAACAGATGTATCGAATCGGCGCCGGCGTACAGAGCCTTG